GGAGAAATCCCAGCCCGCTCGCCCCCCTCCCAAAGTAGCCTCCTCGACGCCCCCGGCGAGCAGCCGCTCCTCTTTGTCCCCTTTGCCCCTCGGGAAGCGCCGCGTTCTCCGCTGCGAGGCCTGAGCAGAAAAAGCGCGAGCGAGCGGAGAGATCAAGGGCAGATAAAGCAGAGTGCGCGGGGACTGGAGGGGAAGGCAGAGCAAGGACTGCGCTGAGGAGCCGTGGCGGGGAGGAGGAGAGGAGGAGGAGGAGGAGGAGGAGAACCGATCGAGTGTAGAAGGCCTTTGGACTCCTGGGGAGACAACCTTTGGGAGAGGCGGCAGGAGTTGGGCGCTGGGGGAGCAATCGCTCATGTTATTGCTGTCGTTGTGATCTAGGCTAAGGATGTGGCCATCTTTACATTCTAAGAGCATTCTGCGTTGAAGCCATTTCTTCAAGATGCCGTGTCTCTGAACATGTGCAAAGTGATAACCAGCTTGGATAGGGAAGAGGGCTTCTGCTTCCGGATCAAACGGCCTAGCCGAGCCTCCAAAAAGTAAAGTGCCACGGGTTGGGTGGGGGGCGGATCCAATTCCCGCGGCCCGGCGCTCTTGCTGAAGCGCGGTCCCCGAAGCCCCGAGAGCACTAGAAGGGACCAAGGGCGGCGGAGCGGGCCCGGGGGAGGGACGTGCGATACCCCGCCGCCGGCGTCGTCGAGAACAAATCAATCGGCCTTTACGTATATTGCTCAGGCCTGTGGATTTCGACCGAATGGGCTGTTTGCGATGAGCTGCTAAGACAGCGTGGGTCGGAGGAGGGGAGGCTCGAGGGGGGCCGGCAGAAAAGCCAAGCCAGCCGGGCAGGAGAGGAGAGGAGAGGGGAGAGGGCGGCGGATGCAGCGGGTAGGCCGCGGGCAAGCGAGATGCCCATTTCCCCTTGACGCAGTGCGGCAGCTCCCGGGTTCATTGGCCTTAATGGCAATCATGCCCATGAATACGCTTTCCACAATTTCCCCTCGGCGGGCTTCATTAGCCCAGCCAAGCAAGCGAGGAAACGGTGGGGAAGCATCACCCCGGAAGGCGGGCGCGGCAGAGCTGGAGGAATGTTTCCCCAGGAGAGGCGGGACCAAGTCGGGGAGCAGCCGGATC